TCAAGGCTAGCACTCTACCATTGGAGCCACAGCTCCACTTCTGGCTTTCTGGTGGTTAATTGGAGATAAAAGTCTCATGGACTTTCCTGCCTGGGCTGACTTGGAGCCCTGATCCTCATATCTCAGCCTCCTGACTAGCTAGGATTACAGATGTGAGCTACCAGCACCCTACTGCCCTGCATTCTTACATTTTTTTTGGGGGGGGTCCGGTCCTGGGGCCTGAACTCTGGGCCTGGATGCTGTCCCTCAGCGCCCACAGCGCCACTTCCGGCTTTTTTTTTCATTTTGCTTATGTGGTGCTGAGGAATTGAACCCAGGGCCTCATGCATGCAAGGCAAGTGCTCTACCACTGAGCCACCTTCCCAGCCCCCATTCTTAGATTTTTTATATGCTTTTATAATAGAATCACTGATAATGAAGATGATAGTGAGGATAATAAGGAAAACATGAAAAACATGTGTGTGTTTGTGTGTGTGTGCTCCTGTGCATGTGTGCCTGTCCTGGGGCTTGAACTAAAAACCTGGGTGCTGTCATTGAACGTTTGTGCTCAGAGCTAATGCTCTACTACTTGAGCCACAGTTCTATTTTTTTGGTGCTTAATTGAAGTTTTACTGTCTTTTTCTGTCTGGGCTTGCTTTGAAACATCATCCTCAGATCTCAGCCTCCTGTATAGCTAGGATTAGAGGCATGAGCTATGAGCACCTGGCTGACAGCTGTATTTTGTTGTTCTAGGTTTTGGTAGGAAGAGGACCTCAGAGCTTGGCTTGTGAAAATGCTCTTTGTTGACATCTGAGATCCTGTCTCTGAAGCCAAGTGTTCCTGTATCCAGTAATACGGGTGGAAGATAGGCAAAGGAGACAAAAGGTTTGTGTTATTTCCTCCAATCAGATATGAATCTATGATGATCTCAGAATTAAAAGTTTAATTTCAGAGAAGTCCTGGAGTACTTCAGAACTTCCACGGGGAGAGCCAGGCCCCAGGACGAGAGTCTCAGCAGGAAGCTCCCGATCTGGGCTGCTGCGGCTCAACCAACTTCTTTCACTTACCCCATGGGGGAGGGGCCCCACTGGCCTCTGCTGGGGTATTTTAAAGAGAATGAAGGGAGCAGAGGGTACCTCATTAAGGCTAAAGTGGGGGTGGGATGTTCCTCTTGTAAGGAGGCCCAGCCCTGCCTGCATTTCCTGCTACAGTTAACACTTTAACTTTAATCCCTTAGTCTCAAAGTGGATTCTGAAAAAGGTTGGGAAATCTTTTTATCTACAGTATTTCCTCCAAAGAGGTTCCAAAATGCCAGAGATGCCTCAACACTTTTTCCTGCACATACCTAACTACCTCCCTACTAGGATAAAGTTTAATTTAGAAACTAGGCATAATAAGAGATTAACAAGGTTAATAGTAAAACAGAAGACAAGCTAGGTGCTGGTGGCTCATGCCTGTAATCCTAGCTACTAAGGAGGCTGAGATCTGAGAGGTTCGAAGCCAGCCTGGGCAGGAAAGTCTGTGAGATTCTTATCTCAAATTAACCACCAGAAAACCAGAAGTGGTCTGTGGCTCAAGTGGTAGAGTGCTCACCTTGAGCTGAAGAGCTCAGGGGCAATGCCCAGGCCCAGAGTTCAAGCCCCATGACCGACCA